TGGCTTTTAAAATAACTTGTACTATCATTAAGGGAAGTAACTTCAAGAAATAAGAATGCCAAGTATAGTAGTGAACACTGGACTGAGCACTTGAAATGCAAGCACCTAGCAACCATGGCCAGCAAATCCTTACTTTATTGTTCACAAATTTTACATTATATACTATTGCTAGCAGAATGGAGCAATGAATTGAATCTATGTCTAATTAGCTGAAGAAGTTACCTAATTCTAAGTAAATATTCTTAAAATGAGAAAGAACACTGAGTAAGAAAAATTAAAAATACCCCCCCCCCACTTCATTCATTCACTTTCATTACCAGATTTCATTTCACATAGCTCAGTTCAAAAGAAGAATGTCTTTCTGGCTCTTTCTCATACATTGTTATTCTTAATTAACACACTTTCCAATCCTATGTAATCTACATGAAAATGTGTGTAATATTTGCAATATCTTGATCTACATATTACTTCCCTGTATAAGTTTTCCTTCTAAAGGTAGTTGAACAATAGTGATTACAGTTTAAATGTCTTGAATTGATGTAACACCCAAAAATATGCAAAATCCACCCAAACATTTTTTGGGTGGAATAAAATACAAAGCCAAAATTCTGCTTTACATCAAGCAATAAATTATATCTTATAAACACAGAAAAATAAAACAACTTGGCATTACACAAATTGCATCAATTTATTTGTGTGCTGTAAAACTGAATCTATTTTCAGTTTGGCTCCTAATTCACATAAGGATGATCATTGGATCACACTACACAAAACATGATGTGTTGAATTAGGTGCTAAGCGAGTACAGTTTTACAGCATGTGAATAAAATGATGCAATGTGAGTAATGCCAAGTTGCTTAATTCTCCATGTTTATAAGATATCACCTACTGTTTGAGCTAAGGCAGAATTTTGGCATTTTTGAATGGAATTTTATATAAAGAAAATTAGTATACCACAATTATAAATAAGATATTGCCTACTATTTGAGCTAAGGCAGAACTTTGGCATTTTTTGTTGTTGTTGTTGGAGCATTTTTGGATGGAATTTTATATAAAGAAAATTAGTATACCACAATTATAAATATAGTCTTATGATACTACAATATGAAACCTACTGTACATATGTAGTTATACCTTTTATTATTGTTAAACTGAAAATATCAGCCTGTTGTATACTTTAATCATTGTGAAACTGTAAATTTATTTATTTATTTTTATAATTTTTGAATCTGTTAACCTACATATATCACTGTTACATGCTACAAATTAGATTATTAGATACAAGTATAACACTTGTAGCACATAATACATTGTATATATAGTATATCAAACACTTGTTATTTGTTTTTAAACTAATGACAGTTTCATTCTTATAATAATTTTTTTTTAATCACCATTTCAATTCAGAGGTAAAACTTTATGGAACCCAAATCATAGTTAAATGCACCTAGAACTAAAAACAACCCACATAAACAAGTCAAGCTGCAACAAATATATTTATGTGTAGCATACTAATAGTTTCATACAAGCATGTACACATGCTCATTTAAACCAGCTACTGTATGAAACTTCTACACAAACACTGTACTCCAGAAAACATTTTTGATCAGGTCTGGAAACTTCAAACTGACTAAATAGAAACACGCTATTCTCTTCATACACCTGACACAGAAATGTAGTACATTGTACACAATATTAAATTAATGAATCAATAACTGAAAAAAAGTACCACATAAATGCTTATATCAATGAATAAATTTTACAGAGAAAGGTAAGATGATCTGCAAAAGACTGAAAGCAGATACATGTATGATGTACTCTTTCCTTAGTTATTCTCTACAGAGAAACTGCTAATATAATCCCAGGTCTGCAGTATCATCAAAATCTTCAGGGCATAGAAACTTAGACTTTGAACTTTTTACCCACTACAAATTTCTATGTATGGTATTATTTAATCCATATATACATAAAAATAAAACAATAACTTTAATAGATGTCTTTAGTTACCGTATCATGTACAAATGCTGGAACTTTGTAAATCAATTCTATTGCATTAGTTTCAATGCCAGAGAATAATAGTAGTATAAACAGAGATTATTTTTTCATACTATAAAGATATTGCTTTATTTGATTCATTTTAATTTTTAATATGCTAAATTGTTATGAAATACAAGAAAGATGGGACGATATTACAAAATAAAGCTTACAAAATCTTCTTTTTACCAAAAAAAAAGCAATAGTTTGTTAATAGTTGTGATAGTTGGTGTAAAATTGGAGATTATCATCCAGATTTCTATAGGTAAATCACACCATTTACCCTATCTGCTTATTACTTCTCAGTATAAGTTGTTTCCCCTTTAGTTTCCTTAGTAGTAAATGTAAAAATCAAATATGCTAAATTTATATGCAAGAAATTTCCACCCATCTTTAAGAAAGGTTGGGACAGAACATATGTCTTATGTGTTCTTTCCTCTTTCATTCATACTTTTCTTATACATCCAATAAAATTAACATTACATTCAGTTTAAGCAGAAATTTGTCTTTTTCTCTCAATATCCAAATTTAAGTCACAGAGAAACAAGTGGCAGTAAGAAGAAATATATTTTGTAGAACTTTGTTCTTTTCAGTCATTATCAGTTACTGAAGCATTAAGAAAAACACAGGCTGTTATGGGCTACTACAGGCTCTTTGAGCAATTATATAGATTTTAAAGGTTAAGCTCCGGAATCACTTGTTTTAAAGGTTTGCTGAGAGGCCTTTTATTGTTTTTTGTTCATATTCATCTGTTGCCCCTAATTTTAAGCTGCCAAACAGAGAGAAGGCAAACCAGCCAGCAGCACCCACTGATAACTATTGGGCTACTTTTTCACCAATGAATAGTGGGACTGACCATCTCATTATAACACCCCCATGACTGAAAGATCAAGTATGCTTAGCACCAGGTGAGGCCTGTTATAAACATAAACTTGTGTACCTGCATACTAATAACTAAAATACTTAAAGAATTCTACATAAATTTGTTTCTGTACAATTTACAGCTATCAAACATACCCAATGAAAAAAAATTTTCCTTAAAATCAATTTGAACAGAAATTCAGTCTTTTCTTCTTTCAGTATTTGCATTTAAGTTAGAAAAAAACAAGCAGTAACAACATGAAGGCTGTTTTGTATAACTACACTCTTTTAAATCATTATTGATTAGAATACTTTTCTCTAATAAATTTCTTAGTTTACAGAAAATCTATCGAAAGATGCTGCACTTTTAAATAGGTAAAAAATACAAACTTTTTCTTTGTTATTCTGGTATACTCAGGGTAACAAGCTATATTAATTACACTGATGATGTTTCTAAAAATTATCAACAATGCAGTGACTGGCTTCCTACATTCACAAATGACATAGCTATATGCAGAACCTTCGTTAAATATTTTTTAGCAACAGCCCTTTCATTAATTTTTGAAAACATGAAGTTCAAGATTTTCAAGGCATCAGTTTTAGAAGTCATATTTAAAACTTTAGGGTTTCAAACAGTGTATGCTATATATCATCTAAACCCTGCAACTTTGTTACACTGAGTATTCCAAATCAGGTCATTTGAATTTGAAAACTATTTATTGTTTGTCTTGTTTACTTGTGTGTGTGCAATGTTGCTTGGGGTGCATCTAAGAAGTGTTACAAATGGTGCCAACATACTCTGTATGGTGTGATGAGTTACAACCATAGCTGGACAAACATACGATGTGTCACCACACCAATAGTAGAAACTGACTTGCAAAAGTCATAATTTACTCTTCCAATCATTACAATAGAACTACAGGGATTCAAAGGGCAATTTAAATTTTTAAACCCATATTATAAAATGAGCATTTTCTTAGGTACAGAGCAATAATATATATATATAGGGTCACTCAGAAACTGGAAACAAAGAATATTTTTTTTACCTAAGTGTGTACAGGATCAAAGTATGGATATCAGAATATTTGAATAAGTATGTAAAATTCAAAACCTTAATACTAACAATGCTACTGTTGAGCATTATAGTAAAGAATATGGGATACCACAAGCAGATAACACTTTATAGGATGTCAAGATCTTACTGAAATGTCATAGTTTTCTTGACCAAAAGATTAACTAATCTAATTTCAGCAAGAACAATGAACAAACATAAAGGTTGGCCTTTTGTGTAAAGATGTTAATAGCATTCTTAAAAATTTAATATGTTTGAACTTTGATGAAGTTCTATACACTTTCATAATGGTTAAAATATATTTTTAAGATTGTTTGTGTATGTATTGATATAAAAAGATGAAATAATACTTATAGATACAAGTATGATGATGTATTTTATACATGTAACATATCCTGTTCTAAATCCTATGATTTTAAAACTTTACCTGTTGATTTACACACGTTATGTACTTACCATTGTTGTTTCAGTTTGTTTCAACAATTTATATTCAAGAGTGTTTAATATAATTTTAATATGATCTGAATCTTTTAGACACGTGTATCAATGTTCAATTAATGGATGATGGTGTTCCAATTTAGTTTCAACTACATTAGTGAATATATAGGATATCAACAGTTCCTGATGAAGTTGTAATAGTGAAATATTGTGCTAATAAAGATAAGTTATACGTCTTTATACTTTTGTCATATCGGTATAACATCTTTTTAATGATGCACGTAAGTCAATTTTTTTGGGGTCCTTTTAATTCATATCAACATTAAAACATCCCTCATAATACGTGATTTCTAATAGCAACTCCTATGAAACTGATAGCAAATTGTGATTTTTTACATAACACAAACCACAGAGAAAACATTATCTAATCCTAATTAAACATTTTTACTGTTTCAGATTATTTGGGAAATACTTTAAAAATTTAACAGTTTAATAGGTAGTTTCAACTTGTTTGAGAATGTAATCAAATCTTTGCTGAATGTGTAAAATAAAAACTTTATTCCTATGAGGAGAAAGTGTAATGAACCAAACTCACCCGCTTGAAAAAGCATATCCCTTCCCCCTGCTCCACATGCTTCTAAATTGATGAATGCTTGTATTTCTTTTGCCCATCTATGCTGTGTTATGAATCCATGAGCTCCCTAAAAGTTCATACCATACAAGATTAATCAAGACTAGGTTATTAAATCCTTGCACGTACATGAACATTAAGAATGCATTCAAGTCATCAAGAAATAAATCTAGTATACATAAAAATTGCTAATACTGTCAAAATGCACTAAAACCAATAAAACAAAATATGTATGTATGTACATGTGTATGTTTGTTCGTGTTATATATATATATATATATATAATTACATTTTTTTAAATTGTAATAAAGTTGAATACACAAAACCAGAGCAAGTAGTTGTGCAAAAAACGACTGTTTGAATGAACTTTTATTAAGCATTGTATGGAATTCTTTTAACACTGAAAAAAGTTTATGAATTTACAATACACACATTTGATATAAAAAAAGTATGTAAAAGAAGTTTGTATTGGCAATACCACTGTTTAATCTTATGTAACAAATATATTAATTTGAACTGTTTCCAGTAAGGCAGATATATAAAATAGTTTCATAAAATCACATACAATCATGCCTTTACAAAGTATTTGCTTCAGCAACAATGTTAGCTCTTGAATGATGGAAAACAACAACAACAAAAATAAATATGAAAACAGACAGTGGCAAACAAAGAAAGAAGTGAACAGAAAGATTGAGGTTATAATTTAGAAAATCTGTTTATGAACAATCTTTAAACATAAAACAACAACAAAACATACATCACTGTATAAAAAGAGAAAATCATAATAAAAAGACCTTTCTTCAGAAGCAGAAATTCAATTTCCCTACCCTATCTATCTACAAAACAAAACAATGATGAGTAATAAGAAAGCAAAGAAATATTGGTAGTTATGTGACACGAAGGGCTTGTGTTTGATTTCCTAGCTTCTCATAGTCATAATTAATTTACTTTGATGATATAGGCATGTAATTGTAACCCTTCTTATATTTACATAAATACATTTTACTATTCTTCACCTATGACCCTTATTACACACTGTACAGAAAACATGAATTGGGTAAACACCAGACTCTTTATTTGTGTACCAGTACATTTCCAGAATGCACTGGTGATACTCATATTTCTGCCTTGTCATTGTTCATAGGAGTGTAGCTTAGTCACAGCTGACTAAAATAGGCTGTCTGTATATAAAGTAGATGTAGTTGTAAACAGATAACCATATACGTCCACTGCCTCTACAATAGCTATTTTCAAACATGCACACTCACTGCACAACTAGCTTACACATATGAATCTAAAACTGCAACATTAAGGCAGAAACTGAACAAGAAAAATAACTACGATTTTCATTTAGGTTCATCCTATAGCAAATTTTGGCTTCTACTCAAAAAACAAAACACTACATAATACCATTTTTTGCATTAAAAAAATAAGAAACTGAACATAAAATGTAATTATGATATATAAAATTTGCTAAAGCTTGCAAAGAAACTAGATACTGTAGCCAACTTGAAGTTTTAATTATTTTGAGATGTATTTTAAAAATGTAAGGAAAATAACCATTTACTCTACTTGTTGACGAGTGTATAAACACAATCAAATGACCATACAACTTGAATAGCAGTGGTTGTATGATACTGGTTTAAAGCTATTAGCAATAAAATATAAGTATCTTAGAAAGTGAATTTCATATGAAAAAAAGTAAAAGTAGTTATTGCTGTGCACAAAAAGAAATGGAATAATTTTCTCTGTAACCTAAAAACTGAAAGTACCCTCTAATCTTTGCAATTTTGGAGTCAAAAAATGAAGTGCATATAGGAGAAAGAATGTAGAGATAAATATGGTTTTAAAGAATTAACAGCAAGATTTGAAATGAAACATTATTCATATACATAAACATGATTGTAATAAAAAAGTACAATAACATATCCATATGAGCATGAATAAATTTATACAAACCTGCAAAATGTTTTCTTCTGCTCCATTAAATAAAAAGACGATGCTATGAGGAAGTGATCTGTTCTGATTAGACAACACCATCAATATCTCCAGCATCGTTGCACAATTAACACTATCATCACTTGCCCCTAAACAGATGAATACAAACAGTGTATACCAAAATAGTTATAATTCTTATCTTAACAAAGACCAATAAAGTGAAGAAAATAAGAAGAAAAAGAACACATTAACTACATTTACATAAAAAAGTATTAATCAACTCCTAAGTCTGCAAACTGTATGTACATGCATCACTAAAATTAATTTGGCTGTATGTCAATCATCTTGGTTAATGAAAAAATTCAAATAAATGTGTAATGTCAGCTAAAGTTATTAACACTCTCTAAGACATTTTTTCCATTTCCATTGCTCATCATACTTGTTTGTAAATTTTTAATGGAGGGTATTCAATGACATCTATATTTTCTTACATCTAACTAAACTAACCTAAACAAGTTGATGTAAAACAAAGGAGGTGTAAACCTTGAGATAGTGAAATTCTAATATATAAGTTATTAAACAATGTTCAAGGTTTGAAGTGTGACTCTTGATCACTGGCCACCAAATGGTTCTGACACTTTAGCTAAAATATGACTGAACACTCCTTTATATGAAATATTTTCAGTCTGGCTTAACCATATTACAGTTATGTTAATTGTTTCAAATTCTGTGAAGGATCTGCCAAAGACAAGTTAGAATAAAATACTTTAAACAATTTTATACTTATGAATTTTCTTAATTTCAATGGAAAATGATACAACTCATTTACATGAAAGGATTTCAAAGTACTTAATCAAACAAATGAAGTCAAGCATCTTTACACAAATGCATCAAATTCTAAGGTAATTTTTTCATAGATAGAATGTCTAAGGAAGTAATTCTCACATTCTTACTCTTAGGTGCATAACTATAAGTACTATAATTTTATGAGTTTTTTGTTTCTTTTAATATTAATTGCAAGTATATATCAACTATGACAGTTTGTTCCTACAAATACACACACACATATATACATTCTGATATTTCCTCTTAGTTTAACTTTACGTTAACTAAGTCTTACTTACCTGGACTTGTTGGCACAGTATCAAAGTGGCAATTCACAAGCAGGCTTTTACCAGTGGAATTGTGTGGACCAATTTTGGCAATGACATTTTTCACATTCCTATAATATGATGTAAATCCATCACCAAATTTCAGAAAAAATGACCCTGTTGTTTTCTGAACATCAATATTAAAGACATGAACATTTTCTGCTTGACTCTTTATAAACTCTAGTTGTCTCTTAATAAAATCAAAAGCAAGAACTTCGTTTTCATAACTACCTGTCGGTCGTGGGCCTATACTAATTAACTCATTCAAAACATTTCTCGTGCGTTCTTCGCTAAAACGGTTCATTAAATATTGTGGAGGAAATTGGGAGTTATCTTCATTATCTGTGAATAACCTGTATTGCTTACTAGTAGTAGTGCCGGCAACATCATCAATACTTTTGGGGGCTGGAAGATACCCTTCGCAAAGTAAAACAACAAATAAAATAAAGGTGTAGAAGGCACCCAGAAACATGAATAAGTATTTATCTAACAACACTTCTGAGTACTTTTTGTCATCTTCATAGTCTGTTAAAATTTGTGACCGCGAACGAACAGCTGCAGAAGAACCCCGTGATCGAAACCTCAACCGTTGTATGGAATCCATACTTACAAACTAACTGTGCCATCTCGTGGTGATTATTTTCATTCTTTTTTGGCAATAAAGCTAGAAAAGAAAAATCAAACTCTACTTTCTGGATAGTAATAGAAAACATTTTATTTCAACCAAAGTTTCGCCATTACGACTGATCAGGACTAGTACTACAAGAAATAGCCCCGACGAAGCCGCAATGGAGAAACGTTGTCTGTAATAAAAACTTGTTCTTGTTTTTTTCAGAATTAGTAATCCATACTGTTGGAACTTAACATTTTAGCAGTAACGTTATAAAAAAACGACCCCCCCCCCTCAGATGATAATAAAAATAATTTTCATTTCGGCTAACGTTTCGTCATTATGGATTCATAACATAATATAAGCCCAAGTGACACAGCTGTATGTCTGCGTACTTACAACGCCCAGATAGCCCATTCTGTAGCTTTGTATTTAATTACAAACAAACAAACATAACATAATGTTTAGGGACAACAAGGGACCTATTGGTCCATCTAGGTTGTCCCATCCTCTAAACTATATTAGGACTATGAAAAAAACAAAAACAAAAAACTCAAAGCCAGCTCTTATCATTCATATAGTTATCAAGCATTTTCTTAAACTCACTTTTAAATGTATTGCCTTCACAACAGCTGAAGGCAATCCGATCCAAAGGTCAACAACCCTGTTAGAAAAATAAAACTCTCTTAGCTGAATGTGACTTCTACCCTGACAAAATTTATATTCGTGTCCCCTAGTCCTACCATTCTCACCATTAAATATGAAAAAAGATGATGCGTCAACACTATCAATTCCCCTGAAAATCTTAAACACCTAAATCAGATCCTCCCTAACTCTTCTTTTTTCAAGAGCATACAATTTCAGAGATCTTAATCTGTCCTTGTATGACAACTCTTTCATCCCAGGCGCCATTTGAGTAGCCCTCCTCTGAACCCTTTCCAACAATTCAATGTCTTTCCTAAGGTAAGGATCCCAAGCCTGATCACGTTATTTCAAATGTGGTATAACCAGTGACCTATACAACGAAATTATAACCTCTTTAGACTTGTATTCAATATTTCTGTAGGTACAACCTAAAATCAAATTTCAATTCCAATTTTATAATTTATTATGCTTTTCTTTAATTTTATCTCTTAAACCCTTTGTGAGACAATCTTTATATATATAATCACTCCTCCCCTTCTTTAATACTCTACATTTCAAAGATATTTGTATCATCAAAATCATCTATATTTAACCATGTTTCAGTTATTCCCATTATATCAAAATTCTCCATTCCTACCAGTGCTCTAAGGTCATCTAATCTGCTCATCCTTACATATTAACCTAAGCCTAGCATTCAGCCCTAATGACTATTTATAATTTCATCTTCACAACTAATTCTCAGCAGTATCCATGACACAATTAGCTTATGGCTGTTTTCTCTAAATGTTTTTATCAACCCCTTGTACTTAGCAATTAGCTCTTTTGACCTACCTTTCCTACATCATTAACCCCTACGTGCACAACAAAACTGCATCATTGTTAGCTCCTTTTATTATATCTCTTGCTCTGTCAGTTAAAACCTCCACCCGTGCTCCTGGGTAGCATAATCTAATTATTTTTTCCCTACAGACTATCCTCATGCCTAGTCAAAGAATCACCTATAACTATAATCACCTTAAGTTTATCATTCACATCCTTCTCTGTCCATTTTGTTTTGTAGTTCCTCATCTGCATAAGCTCAGGCCTGAAATCTGTTGCTGAATAGAACATACTCATTACAATTAAATCCACTACTTTTAGCCCTGATAGTACTGTTTCTAACTTTCTGAAAGTCATTGTTAGCTGATGTATCCCTTGTAGGGAGTTGTGCAAGAACTGATTGATTTGAAAATGTACGTTAAATTATTAAAGAGCTGTTGATGTTTTATTGCTCGAAACTCTGGCAACATGCTTTTAAAAATGTTTAAAACATTATTGTTTATTCCCAATTACCTTAATATCTATCTATTATATATTACTCTTATAAATTCAGAGTCTGTCTGATATGCACTTTCAACAATGATTTTTATATGATGTTGCTTAGCAATAAAACTATAACCTGACATTTTTGATAGCCTATGCTTTGAAAGTGTAAAATGAAATGTCTAGACAGCGAAACTGGAAAAATATTTGTTGATTTCTTAAGGTGGACATTCCTTTTTCAGGGGCAAACTGGTCCCAGTTTGCCCCTGAAA